AGTTTTGCGAAATAGAAACAGTCTTGAAGATGAAGAGCATAGTGATTAACGATTAACAATGACCAATTGAAAGTAGCCATTGATATTAGTTAGATCATCATAGGAACTCTACAAGGAATTGTTAAAAAACTCAATGGTCAGCAATTTTTATTGAATTTTAGCATTTGAAGCATGTTGGAAGGATAAGAAAGTTTGATAAATGGATGCCTTATCAGTTAACTGATAATCACAAATCACTTCATTTATGTATCACACTTTCTTATTTTTTACTACAATGAATTATTTCTTGATGAGAAATGACGTAAAATGTATTGCATATACGACAATTGCAACTACACCAGCTTAATGATTTCAAGCAAATAAGCTTTAAATCATTTTTTGAAGTTAAAATTAACCAAAAATTAAAGTGACCATACTCAAAATTTGACCGATAGTTATATTTTACTTCATTTTGGGAGGTCATCAGAGTTCATCATCCAAATATTAGTAATTACTACTTTCATAAACTGTCATTGTAAGGTAAATTTAGCTAGTAAAATTTCTCGATATTATAATTGAATAGTAATACTCTGTCCCATTCTTTCATAACAGCATCATCAGAATCGGAATGGGATCAACAACCTTTACTGGATTTAATTAATGATTAGTTCCAGAAGATATGTTATTCGTACGGTAATAGATAAGATAGTAATATTTGGCGAACTTCAATATTTATTGTTCCTTTGATGTCAAATGTCAACTTTAATGAATGAATAATATTTCTGTTTGAATATAGATAGTTGAGTTAAATTTATTTGAGATTGTAAATGAACTGTAAACTTTTTATGTTACATTTTCACAGGGTGTATTTAATTACTGATGTATTTAATTACTGATTTTGATCAGATATATGGTGAAATAGGATTTCCTCCAATAAGATTCGTGTAATCAACAACGAAACTAAGCGTTCCGTTAATTGATGGAAAAGTGCTAATTTTCTTATCACCATATCGTTTCAAGTTAATTTCTTGCAAATTATCATATTGTTTTAAATCAAACTTTGAATCATCATCATTACCATTGCAATTGAAGAAAACGCGACATTTATGAAGATTTTGCCTAAAATTAGCTTCATAAAATTCCTGGATTTGAATGATTGATAGAATAGAAATAATTAATCATAATTTTTCATAACCTTTATTAGCTAATTTATTGAAGAAAATAGCAAGCAATAAGCGAGCTATGAATTGGGTTATTTGGTTAGTTAATTGAAAAAATGAAAATTTCAAATGGGAGTAATCATAATCAGAAAATGTATGCAAATGAAGCAAACCCATAGCCAACAATCCATTGCAAAATGCTACGTAGAGATTTGGCGGAATTAATTTCAGTGATAGAACGACGTCGACAAATTGTTTCCATTGGACCTTTTTCAAAAATAAGCATATTAACGCATAATAGCTCTTCCAGGCTTTGTTTCATTTTGCTCGATTTGCTTATTGATGAAGTTTGAGATGGAGATGTCAACTCCTGCAAACAGAAATGATAATTGATTGATAACAGAAATGATAACTGAAAAGTGATGTATGGTTATGATCATCAATTATTGTTTCAAATTTTCATAATTTTAATCTTCAGTTAAAGTTTTATGAAACACCTTAAATATTCCTCATATTCCAACTACACTTTTAATGATTCTTAAATTAAGGATGAATTTTAATGATGTTTATTTGATACTTGTTATTCGGCATAATGGATTGATGAAACAAGTTTGATAGCATTTTTTGCATTTCCAAAAAATTTTTCAACTCTAATACCTTGACTTGTTGCAATCGCTTCATATTATAATCTTGATTTTCGTCACCTGTTGCTATGATTTCGTTTATTTTGTTTTCAATAATTTTTTGGAAATATTTATGCCGTAAGGTTGGATCTGGACAAACTGCTGCTAAATTAGTTGCAAAACATTCTTCATTGCAACATCCTATGGTACCTGAAATCATCAAAAACACCTTCACTTCAATTATTCTCATGATTCTTTTTTTTCTTTTGCGATTGATATTTTATATCGTCCGTTTTCTAATTTTCAAAATATATTAATGAATAAGTGATTCAAATTTATCTTAATTGCAATTAAATGGACTTTGTCAAGTTTGTGCTTGAAAATTGCAAGAAAAAAAAAAGAAGGAAAAATAAATTTCAAAATATGCTTGGAAATTTCAAAAAAAAAAGTAGCAAATTTCAAAAAATGAACAATTTCCATTTTCTTTAAATTTTAATAATTTATCGAAAAACTTACCATCAGCATTTTCAATCATTGGTGCATTAATGGTACAATGCTGGCAGATTGCATGCTCACATCGTCCATGAATCCGGAGCTCCTTAACCGGTCGCATCTTTCCGCATGGTCCATCACAACGGCGGATTTGCTCACTCTTTGTTGGAGCTATAAGTATGATTTCTTTGTCATCATTTCTTTTTTTTTTTTTTTTTTTAAGGAAAGAGAAGAGTCAAATAAGGATGAATTAAGTGAAATGAAGGAAACAGATAGAGAGAATGAAGAAAAAAAAAAAATTATTTTTCATACAGATTTCAACAGCTGTTTCATGGCTTTGCATTAATCGTTGTTTTTTTAATTCACTTCTCGATGGTACTACAAAAAGGATAAGATTAGATTATGTTCTTGATACTGTTACAGTAATTTGAAGGTTTAACGCACAATGTAATTGACCCCTATTCGATTTGAATGCACATATTAGAAATGGACAGTATCATTAAACTCTACAAATGCTCTCTATACGATTAATCATAATAGCAATCCATTATTGGATAAGAGCATGTAAAATGGAGTTTATTTTTCATTGACCAATGGATACTTCAATAAACAAACAATTGTTTTAGGAATTAATTTTCCAAAATTAAAAAACATATGGTAGGAAATTAGTCATGTTAAAATACTGAATTAGTATCATACGATTGGCTCATATTCTTAGCAACACAAACAATTTCATTTTTTATTTCATAGTTAAGATAGATTACTTGAATTTTACTTCAAGTTGACCAATAATTAAATCTTGATTTGATTTACTCATTTAATAAATATACTGGTAAAAAGAAAATCCTTATCAATAATAACTTGGAGTTTTACAAGTGTCAAAAGAAGTTAATCGATAACTAAATAGACATTAAATTATCGGTTAACTTGGAGTGAAATTCAAGTGATCTATGTTGATTGGAAAGTAAACAACGAAACTATTCCACCTGCTGAAAACATGAATCGATCATATGCAACACTAATATCCAAGATACATTATTAATTTCATGTTTGCATACCATTTATGAGCGATTTTTTAGATTTCGAAATTGCTATACCACTACTATCAGTGGTCACATACGCTTCATTTTTGTACCAACTCAATATGAATGTGTAAAATAACCTGAACGTTTTTTGACATGATTAAAATGTGTGTATGTATGTGTGTATGTTTGTGTGTGTATGTGTGTGTGTCCATATTCTGACATATGCAAATTGTTTGAAGTCAATTATTTTGAACGAATGATTAAGCAAGAAAAAGAAAAACTGAACATGAAAAAGTGAATTGAAAATTTTTCCTTGAATTTTATAAAATTCAAATTTCACATAATAAACTACTTCTTTGTATCAGCTTTGTAAATTGCTTTAATTGTGCATTGATTTGGCTCAATTGATTCACCAAATTTCTCACGTATATATTCAGGTATAAAATCTCGAATGCCATCATTTGTTACCACTAAAAAATGAGCAGAAAAAAAAATCTTTTTTTTTTGGAAATATAAATTAGTGGAACTGTCTATTTTGAGTGTATTTGAATTCGTACCAAGATGTTTTGAGAATACTGGACGTGCACCTTCATTCAAGTGTTCCGATGATTGAGGATCTTTCGTCGATGATCTAAATGATGATTACAAATTATTCTTGAAACTAGGCTCTTTTTTAATCCGTCTATTTACTAAGTTACGATGTTACAACTTTTTTTCTCTTTTTTTAAAGATTACCTTCCCAGTATTTTTCTTCGCGCAACTCTTGCAATATTTCAAAAACCTTCTTACCTTCATGATTTTCTTTTAAATTAATTTACAGTTCGAAAGAAGGAAGCTAATTGAATTTTAAATGTATTGATGTAATAATTCAGCATGTTTTTTTTTTCCAATTTGCTCGCACCTCCAGCAGAAATTGGATGATTCCGACGTGGAATTCGATGTCATCGTTGTCACCTATGCATAATTGGAAATAATTTTAACAAATTCTCTTTTTTGAAATTAGCTAAAATTACAATCAAATGCTAGGAAATTACAAAAATTTCCAATGTTTAGAACTAATTAATTTGAGTTACATCAAAACAAACAGAGCATTATTGATTGCTTTTGACAGAAGAAAAAAAAAGAAGATATCTCGAGCTTCCAGAACGAAGAACTTACGTACGAGTATTCCTGCTAAAACAATTTCAACTCGAAAGCTATAGTTAGAAGTTTAAAGTTAAAAGCAACCGAGTCTTGAGTAATAAGCAATAAGTTATGAAGATTTGCAACAAAATTAATCATCTTATAGTCCACATTTACCTATCAGGGAGCAAAATTTTCATTTGCAACAACTGCACCACTATTGATTATATCTACCTCTTCATATTCAAGACAAGCTCATATCATGTCTCATATAAAGATATGAGTATTAGGCATCAAAATCATATTAAAAACTCATATTAGGCATCAAAATTAAGTCTGGTTTATAAATATTTTTTAGGTATGTAGAAGTATTTTTTTTTGAATATGAAAAACAACACTTACGAAGGGAATGTATCGCCGTATTGCAAAGGTAACTCGGATATCGGATAATTATTTAGCTGGAAGTTACTCTTAATTGCAGTTTGCAGCATATATGGTATGCTGAATTTTAATTTAAGGAACGATATTACATCGCAATGGAAGATCTGAAATTTTCGACAACATGGATAATATGGTGCTAAAAAGTAGTACAAAACTATCACCGATGGAACTGTAACTAGCACTTTTAAAGTATCTCCAATCAGCACAAAGTTCAGTTGTTGTAAAGGAGACAGTGTGAGAAGTTCATCTCGTCCTTTAAGAATAATTATATCAATACGGTGAAAACTGCGACTGTCACATTGTCTAACATGTAGTAAATGCGATCAATGATCATCGTAGATTTTGCTAGATGATATTAACTACTAAAGGAAATGGTGAAATTCCTTGGTGTAGATTACAAGTTATGGATGTTGTGGATACTACCTCTCTAAGAAGTGAATTTAATGGTGGGACAAAGAAGTACTTTTAAGTGTTATGCTGTGAATGATAAATAAAAGACTTAACGTTATGCACAAATGACTTTGCTTTAGAATTTCACAACCTTTAAGCTTTTCAAGTTGCCAATAGCAGCTTTCCGAACTCTAGGAAATTTTATCTTCAAATGAAGAACTTTAGTGACCGGATACTGTGGAAGATTTTATGATTCATTTTGAAACAAAAAATTTTCGCTTCCTACCTTTAATGTGCTTCAAATTTAGTAAACTTTACAAGATTAGTGGAAAAAAAAGTAACAGGTAAGAACAATTACGACGCAACGATAATCTTTTTTTTTCAGAGTAAAAATAATATATTTACTCAGTGGATCTTTTTTTCTTTTCTTTTTCCATTTCGCTTTTCATCATTTTTGTTCATTGTTTTCAGAAAGTATCACTCGATTTGCACGACATTTCAATTTAGACAACTAAGTTGAAACTGTTTTCGCATTCATTCCATGCAACCATACGATGACTCTTTTATCCAGTATTTCAAAGTAAACTACATACAATGATAGAGCAAGAAAACAAAAGACATCCAAGAATTAGACTTCCGATGGTCATCATAATCATATGGCTACAAGTCAGTAAATAATACCTTTCTCGCATTTCTTCCATTTTCAACACATTTTCGAAGTTATTTGTTGGTTGCTGCGATAATGTCAGAGGAAAAAGCCATATTTACCAAATTTGCAGCAATATCATTAGGAGCACGAATAACGGAACTCACTTCAGCATCATCAGAGCAGGATGATCGGTCAGCAACATTGGTCCTTCTATTTCATCGGTCAGTAGCATTAGTCCTTCTATCCCATAGGTCAGTAGCATTGGTCCTTCTATCCCATAGGTCAGTAGCATTGGTCCTTCTATCCCATAGGTCAGTAGCGTTGGTCCTTCTATCTCTCAAGTCAGTGAAATTGGTCCTATCTCATAGGTCAGAAGCGAGCAAACAAGTAATACAGGTCAGTATGCCTCATAAAATTTCATTTTAAAATACCGCCCGCGAAAGCTACCAGTTCCCAAGCATTGCTTTTCACCCGCATGTCCCGCACATCCCGGCACACCTCTCCCGATCAGAGATTGCATCCTAAATCTCCCTTAAACTCATTCTCCCGCCATTTCCACAATAACCAAAATCCCTACCCTCCTTCCTCTCTCTCTCTCTCTCTCTCATCCTCCAACTATTCCTACCATTCTATTATCGGCATATCCAACTTACCTTTCTAATTCTCTTTTCTCAAATAACATCCTTTCTCTGAACTCTATCTCTCTGTTTATCAATTGAATACACCACTTTTTCCAGACCTTAGCAACTTCACACTCTCTCACATCCATATACTATCCTATTCACTCTGCGTCTATTATGCAATGTTGCATCTCCTTATTACGCTCCGATCTGTGAATCAGGATGGGAAGCAATAATTTTCATTTTCATGTTTCGGGTTTGGTTATTTTAAAATCGTTGGAATAGGACGAAGAGGAAATAAGCCTAGCTTTTTGTGAGAGGCGAAACACTAATCTAGCATTTAATGGAAGGAGGAATGCGAGCCTAGCATTTTGTGAAAGGAAAAGTACAGGCCTAGCATTTTGTGAGAGAAGAAATACAAGCCTAGCATTTTGTGAAAGGGGAAATACTAGTCTGACATTTTGTAGAAGGCGAAACACTAATCTAGCATTCTGTGACATTTATTTAATATTTCGAAATCAAATTTCAGACTTTGCTCTTTTGAATATGTCACATCGGCTTGTGTATTTCATTTGGAGTTACATACACTATGGCTACTAAAACTTTGTTTATTACCATTCTTATTGCATGCAATATTTCCACAGAATAGGACGTGTAGTGATTGGATGTAAGCAGATACGCGGGATGTTCAGTGAATTGGTAGAAGCACCACGAAACGCCAAGGATGATTGGAAATCAGGAGAAAAGTAGGTCCTATTTGTTTTTGTTGGAATGTTTCCTTTTAGTTATAATAATCCAGGCGCTTTATATCTTCTGAGCCATTTGTTTTTCTTTTTTTTTGCTACAGTTCTAGCAAAACTTCATAATGTTTTTTTTTTTTTTGTTCAGAGTTTAACATTTCACATCGTTCCGGTTCGTTTTAGTCTGCATCATTCCTAATGTTATTTGATCAGTATTGTAATCCTCAAATTTTTATTATTTGTTAATGTGACAGTGTGTTTTTTTGTTCGGAATTTGACTAGACAGAAAAATCTTTCAATACTATTACGAAATTTGAGGATACTATGGACAAAAAATTGTTTTTTAGAATACCATATCTTTGCTTGGCAAAGACATTCGAAGACATTGAAGCCACATCATCACGGTTAGCTCTTTTTTTTTCAAATTTTGCATTTCTCTTAGCAGACTGATAGATTTATTCTTTCGATTCTCTTCATCATCATGGGTTCAGTTTTTATCGTTGATATTTGTTCATTTCATATCAAGTATGCATAAGTAGTAATCACATATTCATTTGATGTACACCGTGAGGAACGACTTTAGTTCATGACAACTGTAAACGTCATAATTAATAGGACAGAAAGGGTGAAGTAAGAGAATTTGGAAGGAGTTGACCAGATTTTTTCACTTAACCATTTCCGCAGTGCAAAGTTTACGCGGTATAAATCTAAAAGGTTATTTTTCACGTGCAAAGTATTTCTTTGCCTTGTTTTCCAGGCTGGAAATAATCAAAATATTGGCCAATTTTTTTGGAAAAGTGATAGAACGAACGCCAAACGAACTGGCAATATGTGTTTATTTGTGTGTAAATAAACTTGGCCCAACATATGAAGGAATGGAGTTGGGGATTGCTGAAGGAGCTTTAATGAAAGCTATCGCCCAGGCAACTGGTCGTAAGGTATTTTATGTTTTATCTTATTTAGAATTTGTAACTCTAATCCATCATTTTGTTTCAAATTATGAAAGCATATGTTTCAGATTGATAAACTGAGGGAAGACTTGAATCAAAAAGGGGATTTGGGTTTGGTTGCGCAGATGAGTCGAAGTAATCAACGCATTTTGTTCACACCAGCTCCTCTTACCGTAACTTCAGTTTTTCATAAATTACAGGATATGGCAAAAACTTCCGGACATATGGTAAGCACTTATATATTAAAGTATATAAGTGGGAGTTTCACCCTGACAATTATAGCTAATTTAACGTTTAACGAGTTTGTTAAGAAAGATTCGGAATTCCATGTTCACATTTTAGATTTCTTGCGAAGATTCATTAATATCCCAGCTTATTTTGGAGAACCATTGCACTCAGCATCTTGCGAACTTAATTTGTGAAAATAATGAATTTCGTTGTGCTGTCAATAACAAGCTATCTGTCGTTCTACTTTACTTCTTATTTTCTTATTTTGTCGGATTTCAGGCAATGAACAAAAAAGTGGATATGATCAAATCACTCCTGGTTTCGTGTCGTGACTGTGAAGCTCGTTATCTGATAAGAAGTCTGAGCGGAAAACTGCGAATCGGTTTGGCAGAGCAGTCAATACTTGTAGCTCTTGCAAACGCATTCACTAATTTTGAAGCTAAAAAAAGTGGTCAGTTAGTTATAAATTAAGCGCTTCATAAGTGTGAAGCCAAGTAGTTCTTGTGGTTCATAGCGTTTATCCAGTCATCTATGAAATTTTTGAATTTCAGTGTGTGATAATAACACAGTTCTAACATTTTATTACAACATTAGATAAAGACTTCCTACAGAAAATGAAGCATCCATTTAGGTTAAATTTCTAAACTTCTTGGAAACTATCTCGAAACTTATGCCTTTTAAGCTCTTACCTTTTCAAATTTTTTTGTCTCCACGTTTTCATTACATTAAGGTGAAAAACTGAACTGTGAAAAAATGAAAGAACGACAAGCCGAGGATATCTTATTGCTGAAGAGTACATACAGGT